CGAGGCCTCAGCTTTGCTTTTGTTTGCTCGCCCTCTGCTGTAGGACTACTAGAGCGCGGCGGGCGTGTAAACGCTGATCTGTTGAGGTAGGTTCTGCTGCGAGTGTGCAAGATCTGATCAGTTGAGGTAGGTTGTGCGGCGATCGTGCAAGAGGCTGATCTGTTGAGGTAGGCCGTGCTGAGAATTCCTTGCCCAAAAGTTCCTGTCTTGTTTCTCGGTGGCTTCAATAGAGTAGCTCTCTGCCCGCCCAGGTCCTGATCCTTCACCAACTTTGCTGCTGTGGGTGCGCCTGCCTCTGTATGTGCTTTAGCTTAGCCCCTTCCCTTACCCCTCTTCCTGTCAGGTACGTGGACTTCGACCTCATCCTCTACTTGGCCGGCGCGTGCCTCTGCGGTTTCTTCACGTAGCACTGTGGTCTAGGGTAGAGTTTGAGGTAGGGTAGGAGTGCTGCAGTGGTTCTATAGGTAGGGTAGGAGCGCGTAGGAGTGATTGAAACCTTGCCCTCCTCCCCTTCAGGTCCCCATTGAGCCAATCCTCGACTTCTACGCCAGCCGGCCCTGACCTCAGAGTGAAACCAAGCGTCAGCTTTAGAGCCTGTTTGCATTAGGAGGGGATTGCTTGTAGGGGAGTTGGCACTACTAGATCGGAAACTGCGTGGTGTGAGTCGCTTTTGTGTCGAGGGGTCACTTAGCGTCTCCTATCTAACAAGCATGGCCTTGGCACAGTTCGTGAAACACTTAGCAGCTCCTTGCTGCCAGCAAATCCATGTGCTCAAAGACTTTTACCTGATGCCACTCCTCAAGAAGGAAGGTGATTGGACGCGAGTCACTTCGGAATTGCCCAAACTCAAGTCCAACATTGAGAATCTGGGTCTTCGAGGCCTGATGGCATTGCGACTTCGCCTGCGGACTGAGGTGCAAATGTGGCTTTCTCTGGCCGCTTGTTCGACAGAAATGCACGCCCTGATAAAGCCTCTACAGAGTAGGGAGGGTTACCTGCACGCCTACTCCTGGCTGGGCGATGTTTGCAACCTGACTGTCTTCGTGAAACGCGAGGAGCGCCAGACCGAGTTAAACCGCTTGGCAGAATGGTATGGCGAAGATTTCGAAAGCCGCTTGTTGGAGCGGATCCCTGAGTGCTTCATTCGGCGGGCCGAGAACTCGATGCTTGAGGAGATCAGAGACAGGCTGGTGACGGAGTCTGAGAATGAGGACTCCGAAGCCTCTGAGGATTTCTAGCTTTCTTTGAGCCTGCTTTCCCACGTACAGCTAGCGGGTCAAGTACAGCGTAACGAAGCTATCTTTGTACCTACTTTCCCACGTACAGCAAGCGGGTCTAGTACAGTGCGTGACGAAGCTATGTACCGAGTGAGCGCTAAATGTGAAACTACTGTCTTTGCGACGTTGCAGTGGTTTGCTTGCGTATAACGCCTCTTAACTCACTTTGCTTGCTTAGTCACATTGCTCAGGTCCTGAAGCTCTTCTTCACCGACTTTGTGACCAAGAGCGCGCTCGCCTCTCTAGCTAGCCTGTCTTGCTCGCCTGTCTAACTCGTTTGTCAAGCGCGTTAACTAGCTCCTTAACCCTACCCCTCTAGCCGTCAGGGACTTGAACGTTGCCCTGATCCTCTACTTCGAGACGCTGCTGGCTAGGCTCCCTTAGTGTTGAAACTAGTCCGTTGCATGGTTGAGGGCATCTTGCTTGAACTTTGTGAGAACTTTGCGAGCGCTGCAGCCTGCCCTCTCAGTATGAGTGAAAAACCTTGCTGTTGCAATGATTTTTTCGAATTTGCGAGGGAAATCTGTTATAAGTTGCGTTGATGTCAGTCAACTGCCATGCACTAAGTAAAAAGATATTCCTTCGGGATCATTCACTCATCCACTCATCCAATTCAATCATGGCTGCCCTTCAGGGAGTGCCTCTCGATGCCCCTCATGATCCGGCGGCTCCTCCCGCTGCTTTGCCGATAGCTCGCAATCTGATCAGAAGTCGGCAGGGCTTCAGCAGGGAAGTGGTCGTGGAAGCTCCGCTTGATGCTGAGGGAGGAATCACATTCCTTGACGTCGAAACTCTACGTGGAGCTCAGCCTCACTTGCAAGAGCTGCTGAACAATCAGCTCCGCTTTTTAGTGAAGGTGGTTGCTAGAGTCCGACTGGCTGAGACGGTGGTGGATCCTAGCGCAGACGAACCTGCAGAGCGGTACTCCAATGTGTGGATTCCACTGGGTCCCTGGGCCGTACCTCCTTTGGCGAGAGTTGATGAAAGGCTTCGCCGCTACATCTTGCGAGTGGCCGACCACAAGCTCCAGTTTGCCCTCCCGCCGACACTACAGCCTCATCTACAACTTCAGTCAGACGTCGAGCTTGCGGAGTAAGAGCCTGCCGCCGGAAATGCAAAGACTGAACAACCGCAACTGGCATACCTGTCCGCGCTGTCAGCGCAACATGAAAACGGAGCAGTCCTTGCAGCTGCATATGCGTAGGGGGCTCTGCAACGCTTCGCCTGAGGAGCGGAGCACACTGCCCAACATTCGGTTGCCAAAGAATGCAGAAGAAGCTAAACTGCATTACAGCACGAGGTGGCATCTACCTGCTACCTTGCAAAAGGTCGCTGTGGGTATGAGCCTCCCCGGAAGCACCTCATGCGTCTAGATCGATGCAACATGGTGGACGAGCCGTTTGACATCACGCGCCGCTTCCTCCGCGACTTGCTCGATCTTGCCTTCGACTACCTCCGCTGGTGCAAAGAGGTTAACAAGAGCCCCACCTTCAAGCCAGGCGAGCGGGAAGCGTTCGAGGCGGCCGTGCAGTGCCAATCTTGTGGCTCGCAATTTGGACCTGATGCTCCGAAAGTTCTCCACCGCAGACATGGAACCGGGGATTTTATATCCGCCTTATGCGGCCCTTGCAACAGTTCTATACGTCGACGGAAGGTGGTGCCGGTGTTCTTCCACAATGGCGGAGGGTTCGATTTTCATTATCTTGTCAGGGGCATAGCGCGGCTGAGACAAAAAGAGCGGTGGGTCGCATACAGCGAGGAGGAGCTCGACGAGGAGAACTTCGAGGACTTGAGCGGAGAGGAGGCGTATCAGTTGGCCTCGCTCCAGTTCCGCGAGGATGAGGTCGACTACGACTTTGCGAAGCTCAAGTTTCAGGTCTTGGTGAAGAGCGGCGAGCGCTACCTGCAGATCCGCCTGGGGCCTTTGGTGTTCCTGGATTCGTGCAACATCTTCCCAGCCCCCTTGGACGCTTTAATCTCCGACCTCCGCAGCACCGACAAAGACCCGGCAAAGGCATTCCCCTTGTTAGCCGAGCGGCGTCCGCTGTTCGCACGCGCAGAGCTCTTCAAGGAAGAAGGCCGCTATGCGCACCCCATATTCGCCAAATCATGGAAGAAGAGCTGCACCTTCTACCGCGAGCATGTTTGGCATTTGCTTCTGAAGAAGCTCCCTATGCCCTTTGAGAAGTTGACGGGGCCTGAGTGTTGGGACATGGACGCGTTGATGCCTGACAAGAGCTACTACGACAGTCGCCTCACTGGAGACAATTGCAGCGTAGCCAAGTATGAAGAGATCCGTCAGGTTGTGGACTTCTTTGGCTTTGAGACCTTTGGGCAATTCCACGACGCTTATCTTCACACTGATATGGCTCTAGCCGACGTGCTTGAAACCTATCGCGAGGAGTTCTTTGAGCGCTACCAGCTGGACCCCGTGATGTACATAACAGGTGCATCAGCGGCGTGGGACGCGATGCTCAAGCGCTGTGTGGGCAAACAACAGCCGCTGGAGCTCATCCGCGACCAGACCATCTACGACATCGCTCGGGAGAGCGTGCGTGGAGGTCTCTCAAATCCTTTTCAGCCGTACGCGAAGGCAAATAATGTCGGTCTGGGAGATGATTACGACGAGAGAGGCTGACTCCTACCTCAACAAGTTCGACGTGAACTCTCAATACCCAACTGTGATGTCGAGGCCTTTACCTGCTGACGGAGGGGTCTTGCTGCGACTGAGCGAAACAAAGAAGGAGCGGATGAAGCAACTCTACCGGCTCCTGGAGACCACCGACTACGGCGCCAAGGATTATGAGGAGACCCACTTGGTCAAAGTGACGTACTACGTGCCTCCGCATGCCCACGACTATGTTGATTGGGGGTCCTCCTGCTCAAAAGTCCGTTGAGACTTCGCAGCTCAGCCCATACTCAAGAGAGCTTCTGCGTAAAAAGGGATTGGAGAAGGCTCCGGGCAACCGAAAGCTGATGCCCTACCTTGGTTTCCACAACGAGGAAAGCCTGCAGCTTCGCCTGCTGAAGTTTTACATGCAGAGGATGGACGTCAGAGTCTGTGAGGTCCATGCCATCGTCCGCTTTGGTTGCAGGCCTTTTATGCGGCCCTTCATCGAAGAGGCCTATGCGAGACGGCTGGTTTTGAAACGGGCTGGGCGCAAGCTGCAGGACAAGGTGGTGAAGACAAGCGTGTGCGTGCAGTTTGGCAAGGCTGTGCAAAATCAGGAACCCTTCAAGAACGCCGACGTCTTCACAGACAGGAAGCTCTACGAGCGCGAGATGGCTGGGCCTTTAGTCGTGGACTACCACTGCTATCCCTCCTCTGCCGGCTTCCTCGGGTTGGTGTACAAGAAGAAGGCCCAGGGTTCTCTGCTGAAGACCGTTCCGCAGATTGGTACCTTTGTGCTGGACGAGGCTCGCTTGGACATCATGATGTATCACTACGCCTTGCGGAAGATCTTCGATGGTGCTGCCAGAAAGCCTGTGGACCCTTCCTATTCCTTGAGCGAGCGATCCTCTGTGCGTGCTATCTACACCGACACTGACAGCGACATCGTGCGCATCTTCTCCGACAAGAACCCTGCGGTGAAGCTAGCTCACGAGAACCTCAAGGGCGACAGTCCCTGCTTCTGGGATGTGGGCGGCGATGTTGTTCAAACTGAGAAGTATCTCTTGGCTTTGGGAGCGAGTCCGCAGGCGTCGAAGCTTGCTGCAGAGCGGCGTGGAGAGTTGGGCGGCTTTGGGGACGAGGGCGCTCCCTTCACCATAGCCGAAGTCGTGGCCCTAGGTCCCAAGTGTTACAGCGAGTGGCTGACCAACTCCAAGCAGATTTTCCACAAGTTCAAGGCTAAGGGCATGGCTAAGCAGCACCGCAAGCAGCTCACCCACGAGGCCTACCGCAAAGCGTGGTTGGAGGGCACGCCTGGCGCTCCTGTGGTCTCCTACCGCTTCGAGTCCCAGAACCATGTGGTGAACCTGACACGTGTCGAAAAGATTGGCCTGAGTCCTTTCACGGACAAGGTGTGGCAGCTGGACGGCTACAACAGCCGCCCTCATGGTCACTGGCGCAATCTGCCTGAGCCGTTTCCAACCCTTTGCCTCCTGGCATATGGTCTGCATGAGAGCGGAAAGAGCTTGCCTGCGATCTTTGTGGACAAAGTCCTCAGCTTCCTCATGTGCGATGCGGGGTACTTGGCCCTGGAGCTGCGTGGTGGAAATTTTGTGGGAGTCTTGAGAGGTTTGGGTTCGCAGTAGCTAAGCATAATTTTGAATCTAGTGCATGAAAGCTTTTTTGGCGACGTGGCTTTGGACAGAGCGCCTGCGTCTCAAGCGGCTCCTTGCTGGCGAGCGTACAGAATGCCTGCCTTGGAGGTTACAACATAGCAGCTTTGGACAGCGTGCTGCTTTACAGACTCTACCCTAGGAGTAGAAAGTTCTCGCAAAAAAACACTTCTGCTGCTGCGAGAGCTAGTGGTTCTTTCTTGTAATGCTACCACGTGCTTATCCTTTATTCCGCACAGGTCTTCATCAAGGAGGTGCTGGAGGACCGACTGGAAAGTTGGCTCTGCGATCTGCCGCGGACCTGGCCGAGCGCAGTTCTCGGCTTTGAATAGGAAACTGTCTTAGTGTAGCGCCTTGCACTTTACGTAAGTCTCTCGCTAGTAATTTACTTCCATTCCAACCTTCTAGCATAAACAGCGGTCCAGCGTAGGTGTGTTCCACCTCTGTAATCGTGTAAACTCTTTCGCTCCATGCTGTTTCTGTCACCCTGTAAGCTCCCCTCCCCTCTATAGGTTTCACCCTTACCCTAACTTGATCGCCTACCTGGAGCTCAGGCCTCGGTTCTGCGCCTCGCTTGGCGTTCCGCCGCATGGTTCTCAGAGCTTTGAGCGCTTTTTGGGGCTCATTGTAGGCTTCGTTTGGGGTCACACCTGTGCCTGCGTGCTTGCGGTCATTGTATTGAGCTAGAACGTCTGGTAACAGCAAGTGCCACTGATTGCGGCGTCCCACACCGGCGGTCAGGCGTTTGATCAGAGCTTCTTTGAAAGTTCGTATCGCTCTTTCAGCCATGATAGCATGTCCTCTGCTGACGAGCTTCTCTATGTCCCAGTAATCTAGCTTTTCCTTAAATTCTCTTTTGAACTCACTGCCGTCATCGGAGTAGACGTAAGATGGAATGCCCAAATCGTTGACTACTCTGTTCCACGCCTCAGAAGCGGTTTTAGCGGTTTTATCTTTCATGGGAATGGCGGTAGCCTTCTTGGTGAAACTGTCAACGGCAACAAGCATAGCAGGCGGTGAGCCTCTTTCACTTTGACTTGACCTCCGCGCCTGTCCGGGATTTAGTCCCTAACCCGCCTTTTTTAGGGTTTCCTTACCCCTTAGGGTTTAGATCTCCTGCCCCGGCGCCTGTGCACCTGCGCATGCTGGGCCTGGACCTGTGAGTCTCCTGTTCTGCAAACTCTGTGCTGTGTTGCCATGTGGGCACCGCCTGCAGGAGTTCTGTTGAGATGCCACCTGCGTCGCCCGGTCATGGTCTGTTGTGTCGTTTTCTCCTCCACTTTGTCTCCATTCCTGTGGATGGGGCACACGCTGCTGGCACTTTACCGGTGCCGTTCTTTTTGTGGGCACGCTAGTTGGCACGCCTGGTAGACTGGCTTGTGCGGTCACGATGATGCTGCCTACTACATGCTCCTCTTCTTTGAGAGTCCCGCGGCTGCTGGCGGCGCTTCATGGTGGCGGCTTCTGCTTTGCTGGGCTGCTGCAGGCTGCCGCGAGCTGACTACTGCTTCTGAGTTTGGCACCGCGTCATGAGGGTTTGTTCAGCTTGTAGCCCTCCTGCTCAGGTTTTTATTGTTTGGATGACGCTTCATCCACTTTTCACGAGAGGGGTTAGTACTTGCAGTCGGACTTCACAGCTACCTGCAGTACGCCTCCTTTAGAGTGTTTTGCATTATATGCATAGTCTCGCTTGTGCTGATGTGGCATCTGCTTTCGGCACTCCGAGTACTTCTAGGTTTAGGGTCAGCTGGTGCTTGAGCTCTGCTTGTATAGCTGTACATCCGCAGGTGCTTGCATGCTGAACCCTTTCTAGGTGTTGGACTTCCCTTATTTGTTAGTGACGGACCGGCTCTGCGGACCTCTTGGGCGCAGAGTCTTTGAAATCCGGGCCCCTAGCAAAGCTCCCCATATCCGCTAGATCAACCTGCAATTGATGCATAGGTTCTGGAGGAACGTAACTGTTGTATCCGCGTTGGGGTCTGTCTTCCCGAGTGATCAGTCCATCCATGAAAGTTTTGACGTCTTGTCTAGTGATGGTAGGGTCCCTCATTCTAGCTTGTCTGAGAGTTTCCGCTTGACTCCCAAATCCTGTTCTAGGGTTCTCATAGACTTCTTTGATGATGTTCTGTCTTGTGGCCGCCATTTCTTGATTGCAAAAATCTGCGCTGAGTGGTGTTTTTTCTTTCAGATGCGAAGTTGCGCCAAGGTCTGAGGACGTTTTCTGGACGCGGTCTCTATAGAAAAAAAGGTGCTAGCTTTTTGATTGCTACTGAGCGCCTCGTTTTTGTGAGCATGCCTGCTTGTGACTGGGGACAGCCTTGTGAGTGCAGGGAATGCCGTCCAGAGAGTGCATGCGTCCGCTGTGGAAAAACTCTGAGGCTCGTGTACGAGCTGGATCGCAAAGGAGTTGGCGACTTTTTCTACGCAGAATGCTTGTGTAACGCTCCCCGCAAAGTAGAAACTCCTCAAAAAACCAGACGCGCGTCCTGCCTCAAGTAGCAAGAGCTAAAGACTAGGAAAGCCGGCTCGCAACTTGCTGCGCCGCAGGCTGCGGTTGACAATTTTGTTTTTGTTTTCGTTGTTTTTGGCGGCGAATTTACCGGCGGGACCGCTCGAGGGGCGGCTTGCAGAAATGCGAGCTGGGGACCTGGAAGACGCATTCTTAGTAGCTTGTGGTGTGGATTGCGGACCAATTGTGGGCCAATTGTGTGGCGTTTGCTCCTGATGCTCATCTTGATACTCGGCCGACGCTCATCTTGCTGAGATTGCTAAAACTCCTCGTACGCGGTGTCGATGAGCCTAGAAACCCTGCTTACACGGTATCAACTACTTACGCTGGCTGGAGTGGGGGGACACAGCAGTCATAACAGGTCATCGATACGCTGTAGTCAAGAAAGTCTGCTTATGCGGCATCAACTACTTACGCTGGCTGGAGTGGGGGGACACTCTGAGAAAGAGTTACCATGGGCTTCCCCACTCCCATATATGTTCGAACCCCCGCTGAGAAGGAAACTGAAGGCAGCGCCGGATGGCAAAGCTTTGAAGGCCGGCAACTGGCAGGCTGGGATTTTTTTGACCCCGTATCGGTTTTTATTGAACCCGCACTTATATACATACTTTTTTCGAAGGCTCGGAGTCAGAAAAAAAGTTTCCGGCTTTTTTTCGACCCCATGTCCGGTCAGAAAAAATCCGAATTTGTGCCTTGTGTGACATCCTCTACACCATCTTGCTTGGAAAGTGTTTTAGTCTCGAGGTTTAGAGTTTGGAGACTTTATGGATTTGGGGTGTAGGATTTTCGGTTTGGAGATTCAGTTTCATGTTTCGCCAACAGTTTCATGTTAGACTAACAGCCAGGACAACCTTTTGTTGGACGTTGCGAGCTTGTAGTCCAAGCTCTGCATAAGCTCATCGTTCACCGCCTGCGTGATGTTCTCCATTGCGTCTGGATTTCCTCTATAGCGGTCAAGCAAGTTTGAGATCACCTCTCTGCTGGTCGAACGAGGGCTCGGCGCCTAGGGGTCCGCGGTCGCCGCGGCTCTGCCGGCTGATCCAGGAGCCCTCGCTGCCGGATGGAGTTCAGGCCGAAGGGCGAGGGCTGCTGCCTCGCCCCCCTGGCGCGGACCCGCGGTGCCGGCTGGACCCTCGATGCCGAGTTTATGTGCCTTCTACACGCGAAAACGCGACCAAGAGCCTTTGACATTATCTGTCTGTGTGGGTCCGCACTTGGATTCTAAGAGTAAGAGAAGTCAAAATGGCGAGAATTGCTTTTGTATCTTGGCTATTTGCCGACGTTGCCCATGCGCCCGCTGGTTCTGCAGTCCACGTGGGTTCTAGAAAAGCAGAGAAGATAACGTGAATTCGCTGCTTCTTGCGTAAGAAAGGAGGACGGGCGTGGTTCAAAGCTCTCGGTACATCATCCATTTCCAAGTTGTCTTCTTTCTGTACGAACGCATGATTCTGTGGCCGGGATGGGGAATTTAAGGCCCACGTGCATTGCAAAGTCGCCCGAAAAGCCGCCTAAAGCAGTTTTGAACAACCTGTGCCAAGACATGGCCATTGCAAAGTAACTGCGAAGACTGTCCGGAAGCAGCCCCAAAATCTGTTCCACGCCAGACCCGGAGTGCATTCCAAAGTGGCCCGAAAGGCCGTCCAAAAAAGGGTCTGGAGTCTTGCGGAAAAGTGTTGGACGGGCGTGGAAATTAGCTCTTTGTACGTAATCCCAAGTTGTCTGCATTTACGAACGTCAAGGAAATTTTAAAGCAGACTCGCGTGCAAAGTCGCCCGAAAGACCCAAAGGCCGTCCGAAAACAGCTCCAAAACTGTTCCAAGGCAGGCCCGGAGTGCATTCCAACGAAGGCCGCCCGAAAGCAGCCCCA